AGTCTGCTTAGCTACAAATAACCAAATCCTCAAAAGTAGTGGCTCCTATGAATTGGTGTTTATTTTTTTATGTAATAAGAAATTCAGAGGAAGGTGGCCAAGGTCAAGTGTGGCCACTGCAGAATGCTGGAACCGAGGTCTCTGCAATCTCCTGGACTTTGCTTTGAGGCAGCTCTCCAGATGGCTGCTGTGTCTCCAGCCATGACCTCTGTCGTGGTGCAGGCCCCAGAGGGGAGGACATGGGAGAGTCACAGTTCAGCTGAGTCTGCTCCCCTTTAAAAATCCTTTCCAGAAGCCCCGCCCCCATACTGTACATTTGTATCTCATTGGCCAGACACTGTCACATGGCCTACCTGTTAGAGAGACTGCGAAACACAGTTTCATTTGCTTGTTTTTAAAGATACACAACATTTATGCTCCAAGATTTCCAAGCTCTGTAAGGTAGGAAAACGGGAAGTGTAGATATTGGGAAGAGACTGCAGTCAACGGAAACTTGGATTTTGTTTCCTAAAACTAGAATGTACCGTTTTTTACCCTCACAACCAAAACTCAGAGAAAGTTAAATGTCTCCTTCAGAATCTCTTCCAAAGGGTTTTATTTTACCTTTTTACTCAGCTTGCTTTCCTTCAAGCACTTCATTCTTTCAACAGTGTTTAAGCACCTACCTATGCCTGGCACTGGGTTGGGGCCTTGGGGATACAGAGGTAACTAAGATACTCTTTTTTCTGCAGAGAATCTTACAGTCTAGAAGGAACAGAGAGCCAAAAAATGATGAAAATATTATAAGTGTTGAGATAGAAGCATGTGAACACTGCAGTAAGAGCTCAGAGGAGAAAGGGGCAGAGGAAGTGTCACACAAAGAATGAGGCCAGAACTGGGCCAGAAGATTAGGATGGGTGGGGCATTCCAGGAAGAAGGGACAACCTGCAGAAGGCACGGGTGTGTGAAAACCCCTGCTGGATGTGTTTAGGGAACAGACGGAAGTTGAGTGTTGATACTTTGGAGGGTTTGTGGCAGTGAAGCAGAAAAGGAGCATAAGATGGGGCTGAACATAAAGGTAGAGGCCTCCCACCCTGCTTTCAGGCTTGCTAAGGAGCTCTGTCTCCAACCTGTCGGAGTGGGGAGGCAACAGGAGCTTCAATCCATTATCTAGTTTCTGTTGCAGAAGGCAAAGCTAAAGAAGAGGGCACAGGTAGGGAAACCACAATAGCATGGTTGAACTTCATTAACAGTAAAAGAACCAGTTCAGTATAAATTTTAAATTTGTATCTAAAAACAATCCCTAGATAAGAAAAATATGACAGAAGTTAATTAGAAATAGACAAATCCATCATTGTAGATGGAGATTTTAATATATCTCGAATCACTTAGAGAATATGCAGACAAAGTATCGGTAAGGATGTATAAATTTTGAGCCACATGCTTCACAAGCTTGACCTAATTGACATGTATAGAACAATAGTTCTAACAATGTGTTCTACATTCTTTTTTAAAAAATAGATTTTATTTTTGAGTAATCTCCATACCAATGTGGGGCTTGAACTCACACCCCTGAGATGAAGAGTCATACTCTCCACTGACTGAGCCAGCCCCTACATTCTTTTCAAGTGAAAATGAAAAATTCACCAACATTGACCATATGCTGGGCCAGAAATCATATCTCCACAAAATATTCCATGGAGCAAGGAAAACTTAATTGCAATTTGAAAATATTTTGAACTGATTGATAATGACAATACAATATATCAGAATCTGTGGGATGCAGCTCAAACAGTGCTTAGAAGGAAAATTATTTGTGTGTGTGTGTGTATACATATATATATGTTTGTATATTATAAATTATATATTGTATATTAGAAAATGTATATATTAGGGGCGCCCGGGTGGCTTAGTCGGTTAAGCGTCCGACTTTCGCTCAGGTCATGATCTCGCGGTTCGTGGGTTCGAGCCCCGCGTCGGACTCTGCGCTGACTGCCAGCTCAGAGCCTGGAGCCTGTTTCAGTCTGTGACTCCCTCTCTCTCTGACCCTCCCCTGCTCACGCTGTCTCTCTCTCTCTCTCTCTCCTAGAAATAAATAAAAAACATTAAAAAAAAATTTTAAAAAAAAAAAAAAGAAAATGTATATATTAGAAAAGAATTAGAAAAAGAGTAAGGCTGAAAATCTGAGCAATCATTTCAAGAAGCTAGAAAAAAGTATTGCAAATTAAATCCAAAGAAATTAGAAGAAATTGTAAAGATGAATATAGAAATCAAATAAAATTTTAAAATAAAAAAGGGAATGTATTATGAAAAAATTACCCAAGTCAGAAGTTGTTTCTTTAAAAAAATAATTAAATTAATAACTCTACCAAGACAGACAAAAACACAAGTTACCTATAACAGGCATGAAAAGGGGGACATCACTACAGATCCTACACACATCACAAAGGTCATTACAACACTGTGGTCAAGGAACAAGAAGGGCTTGGCCTGAAGCCTGGGTGGCAGAGACGAGAACGAGGTGATGATTTAAGAGGTTTGAGGACTGATTGGATTGGGTGTGGGTGGGAAATACAGAACTTTGTGCTGTATTTCTTATCTCAGGTGACTGTGTGGCCAGGGGTGCCTTGGTGAGTCTCGGCAGCTCAGATGGAGACACAAGTTTGGGGAAATGAGACTAAACTTTTCTCTCCTTTAATTTTATTGCTTTTTTTGACATTAGGTACTTGCTGTCTGGGACGTGGGATTATTTGGTGCAACCAGAGCTGGGGAGTCTAAATATGTACCAGAAAGAGTTGAGGTTGAAATCCCAACTCAGCTACTGAGAATTGTACGTCTTTATGATAGTTCATTGCCCTTTCCCCACCTACTTTCCTCATCTGTAAAATGGGGAATAACATTACCTTTTTGTGTTATTTTTTGTTTTAGGGAGAGAGAGTGCACAAGTCGGGGAGAGGGGCAGAGGGAGCAAGAGAAAACTCTTAAGCTGGCTTCATGCCCAGAGCAGGGACAGATGCAGCGCTCGATCGCAGGACCCTGGGATCATGAGCTGAGCTGAAATCAAGAATCAGACACTCAACTGACTGAGCCAGCCAGGAGCCCCAACAGTACTTATTTTAAAGGGATGTTACAAGAATTAACTAAAATAATATGTGTAAAGTACTTGGCATGTAGTAAGTGCTTAGTAAATGGTGGTGTTCCTTTCTTTCCCCTCACTCTTTCCTACAGTCATTGGGGCCTCTGGGACCATGGGTCTGTTCTGATGTGTGTGTAAGGAGCTGGGAGCAGGGCTCGAGGTGGCAGAGTGCTCGTTTTTCCCCCCTTGGGGAGCCTGTATTGGAACTTAGGGCTGGTTTTGGAACATGGGTTCCTGCAACAAGTAGATGATGAGTTCTGCTTTCTACTGACTTGCAGGGCATAGTTGCTTCAGGAAAAGGAAAGTGCGTCAGGATTGAAGTTACTGATTCTCAAATTTTAGCATGCATCAGAATCACAGGTTGTCAAATACAGTCCTTTTGAACAGCCATTTCTTCATAAGATATACAAATGGCCAATAAGCACGTGAAAAGATGCTCAACATCACTGATACTGGGGAAACGCAAATCAAAGCCATAGTGAGATACCACCTCAAACCCATTAAGGTGGTCGCTATGAATAAAAATAAAATAATCCAACTCCCACCCCCTGAAAATAACAGTGTTAATTAAGAGCATGTAGAAAAATTTGAATTCTGCATGCTGTTCTTGGGATATAAAATGGTGCAGTTCTTGTGGAAAACATGGATGTTCCTCAAAAAATTGAAAACAGAACTACCATATGATCCAGCCATCCCACTTCTGGGCATACACCCTGAAGACCGGAAGGCGGTTGCCCCCAAAAGATAACTGTACTCTTACACCCATAGCTGTATTATTCACATATTCAGGATCGCCAAAAGGTGGAGCTAACCCAAGTGTCCATCAAGGGATCAATAGCTACAGAAACCATGTACATACACTATTATTCAGCCTTAAAACGCAAGGAAATACTGACATCTGCTACAGCAGATGACCCCTGACGGCATTTGGTAAGTGGAATAAGCACGTCAGCCACATACGATTCCACTCGTACAAGTGAAAGTCACAGAAGGAAAGCAGGGTGGCGGTGGCCGAGGGCTGCGGAGGAGGAGAAATGGGAGTTATCGTTTAATGGATGCAGAGTTTCAGTTTTGCAAGACAGAAAAGTTCTAGAGCCGGTGCTGGTGGACGTTAATGGTGTAAACGTACTTAATGCCACTAAACTGTACACTTAAGGGGGTTAAGGCCGTCGGTTCTGTAGTACGTGCATTTGTCACCGGTGCCACTGCGCCCCGCTGGGCCTCACCAGGTCTGGAGGGGCCGGTGATGCGTTTCTTGCGGTGCCCAGGTGACGCCAGCGGCCGGCGCCCACCGCGCAGCGAGGGACCGCGGGTGCCGGGGGGCCAGGCGCGTGCGGCCGGGGCGCAGGGGCTCCGCTCGCCCCCACGTGGCGCTGGGTACCGACAGCCACAGCCGGTCCGGTCCGGGGGAGGGCGTCCCACAGCCGGTCCGGGGGAGGGGGTCCCACAGCCGGTCCGGGGGAGGGGGTCCCACAGCCGGTCCGGGGGAGGGGGGTCCCACAGCCTGTCGGGGCAGCAGGCGGCGGCGCTGGAGCGTCGGCTCCGCCCTTCCCCCGCGTCCTTCGGTCCTCGGTGTGGGAGTGAGACCGCGGGGGACCCGCTGACCTCGCGACCCCGCAGGACTAGCCGGGCGCGCAGCTGCGGGGGAGGATTGGGGAGGTTCCCTGGCTCCCCCACCCCCAGGCGAGGTGGGCGGCGCCGGGGCGGGTCTCCGGCCCCGGGCGCGCGGTGTGGGGCTGGGGGCTCGCGGCCGGCAGGGGGCGCCGGCGTCCCGTCCCGCCGCCCGCCTCCGGGCCCCCCCTCCCGCGGGCGCGCCTCCCGGCAGCGCAGCGCCGCCGGCCCGGGACCGCTGGCCCCGCGCGCGCAGACCTCGCGGCCGCTCCGAGGACGCCGCCCGCTCCGGGCCGCTCCTGCGCTCGCCCGCGGCGCCCGCTCGGCCTCCCGCCCGCGTCCCGGGGCAGCGCTCCGGCCGTCGGCGGCCCCGCGCCCTGCTCGCGGAGGGCACAGAGGAGGGCGGCGGCCGGCCGGGGATGGGCGCCGGGGGGCTGCGCGCGCTGCTGCTGGCGCTGGTGGCCGCGGGGACCCCCGCGGGCGCCTACAACCTGGACCCGCAGCGCCCCGTGCGCTTCCAGGGCCCCGCCGGTTCCTTCTTCGGCTACGCGGTGCTGGAACACTTCCACGACAACACGCGCTGGTGAGTGTGCCCCGCGCCCCCGGCCCGGCCGCCGCTGCCCCGAGGGGGCGGCGGAAGCGCCTCAGCGGCGGGAGGCCCGGACCGGGTCTCCGGTCCCAGCCCGGCGCGCGGGGAGAGCCGCCCGAGGGCCCCCTGGGCTCCGGGCCGGAGGAGCTGGGACTCTCGCTCGCAAAGTAACTTGTCTCCTCTGCCCCTGCCCCCCTCCCCCCTCCGCCCATCCCTCCGAACGCCTCGGGACACCGGGCACAGGAGATGCGGACCCCTCCGTTTCGGGGAGCTCTTGGTGACACCCTCCCGCCGCTCCCGGCTTCGAGCCAGGCGCGGAGGAAGCGCAGTGACCGGGGACGCGAGCGGAGCAGGCTGTGCGTGTGTAGGGACGGAGTGGGGCTCCCCAGAGACGGGGGAGCGCGGGCCCCCGTCCTGATTTACAGGGTCCTCTGAGGACGCGAGCCAGGCTGGTGGGTAATCCCTGGGGGCAGCCTGGGCCTTATTTTACTCGGGCCTCTGACCTGGAGACAAGCACCTGGAGTCTTGGGCCAAGGATGTGGTTCTGTAGAGGTCGGGGGGTTCACTTGCCCCCTAAGAGCTCTCTCCATTAAGTGCCATCAGCTAAGGGGCACAGAGCTGGAGTGCCCAGCCCCCCAGAAGCACTGAGGTGGGCTTGGTCCTTCCTGGACCCTTTCCCGGCAGGGACCCCAACGGCACAGAGTGAGGCAGCGGACAGTTCCCCTGTTCAAGGCCATGTCCCAGCGGGGGCCTGGGACAGCCAGTCTGGGGTTGGCTTCGTGGCGCTCACCCACCTGCAGGGCAGGAAGGTGCTGGGGAACGTGCGCTCCCGGCACGCAGCCCTGTGGGAGAGTTCCTGCTCCCAGCTGGACGGAGGCTGACCCAGGAGGGCGGATTTGCAGATCGGAGTCCTCAGGCATTCCTGGAAAAGGGAGGACTCGGTGACCAGCCAGCCCATTAAAAGTCATGTTGTTTAGAACTGCCTCCAAGAAAACCGGTTTTTAAAGTCCCGTGTAGTCCCGTCCAGTCCTACATCTCCTTCCCGACCGTTAACCCCAGTTGCTAAATTTGAGGCCAGACCATCTTTTCCTGCACTTGCCAAATACACTTTTTAAGTACTTTTATTTTTTTGAAGTGTATTTATTTGAGAGCAAACAAGCAAGCAGACGGGGGGCGGAGAGAGCATCCCAAGCAGGCTCCACGCTGTCAGTGCATGGACTCGAACTCACAAACTGTGAGATCATGATGACCTGAGCCGACATCAAGAGTGGGGCGCTTAACTGACCGAGCGCCCCGCCAAATCCTGTTTTTAAAGTAGAGCAGACTGCACACCTTCTCGCGTCCTGCCCCGCAGAGGCCGCCGGGGGCTGTGGGTTTGGTAGACGGGCCGCGGGGACGTCGGAGAAGCTCCCAGAATCCCACGCGGGCTCCTGGGCCGTGTGACTTGGCACAGACGTGGGGAGAGTGTCAGGAGCCGGAAGGCCTCTCTGGGCGGGGGCTTCCGAGGAGAGGCCGGCCGCAGAGCCCGCGTGGGGCGCGGAGCTGCACGCGCTCGCCGCTGACTCTAATGGCCCAGCTCAAGGGAGACGCGCCAGGCCTCGGTCACCTGTAGCTGGGGACGACTTGGCCGCCGGGGTGAATGGCCGAGAGGGGCAGAAGCCGAAGGTGGAGCTGGCGCGGCCTGGGCCCTCCCTCTGCTGCTCCTCGTCTTACTCTCGTCTTCCCGTGTTGGGACGCCCCGCTCTCTGCCCTCCCGCTGCCTTTCCAGCTGTTTCCCTCCCTGCCCTTTAGTCTCCTCTGACCTGGAACGGCCTTCTCAGCCGGTTATGCTGCACAGACTCTCTAAACTGCGGCTCTTGAAGCAACAGACATCCAGCATCGCCTCCTTTCTCCTTTTCTTTAGAGACTAGACTCGCCAAGAGGCTAATGAAACTGGCCCCTCACTCCCCTGCCCCCCTCCGAGACCATATACATAATTTTATTTTTAAAAATATTTTCTAAATATTTTTTTCTAAATTTACAAGAATCAGGCCCTGTGGGATCTAGAGCTACCCTATGTCTCTTAACTTTTCGCTCTGGGATTGGTTGATTGACTTAGTGACCGATTGTTGGTCTCTTCCCACCAGGCAGTCCCCGGGCTCTGGGTCTTTTAGCCGCGCTTGAGGGACGTGTAGGTTGTTTCCAATTATTCACGATTATAAACAACAGCAGGGGTAAACATCCTTGTAACTAAAGCCTTGCGGACATCCTTAATTATTTCCTTCGAATACATTCCTGGGCTTAGAATTGCTGGGTCAGGGAGGAGGGAGGTTTTGAGGCATTTCTATGCATCTTCAAAGTGCCAGTGAAGTTAAAGTGTGCACTTTAGAGAAACGCAGTAACTTTCTCAGGCACTGGATTCTGGAGTGATTTGCTAAGGGGCTGAGTCCAGTGGTATAGACGAGCTTGGCTGTCTGCATGTAGGGAACCGAAAAAGGTCACAAATAGTCGAAATGGATGAAGGAAGAAACTGGTAGATATGAAAGGGAAGTGTAATGTACCGAAACTTTGAAACCAAGGAAAATGTTAATTAAACCTTGTATCTGGTGCCTTTCCTAAGCAGTCGCCCCTTAGTTTCTGAATTCAGTATTAATGGCTCAGTAAGTTGGCTTCATGCTAATTAAACACCTTCTTACAGGTAGAAGGATTTGCTGTGAGTAGGGTAGAGGGACAAGAAGAATGTGCTGGAGGGCACGGAGAGACAGCCCAGGCACCGGCGCCACTGTGGCCTCCGCAGTGGCAGAGCTGAGGGTCCGAGGCGTCACCGGACCGCAGCCGGCATCACGAGGCTCTTGTGCATGCTCTGCCAGGGGAGCTAGCGTTCGTTCTCGAATCCCATGACCAGGCATACCCATCCGTTCTTTTTTTAAGCCAAAGTTGTCACAGGTCAGAAAGTTCTAGATCTCTGTAGCAGATGGGGTAACCGTGCTCCTTCCTCTAAGCCTGGAGCGCGAACACTGCTTCTGCAGTCCTGCTGCGTGGAGAGACAGCCCAGACCCGGCACGCTCCGAGTGTTGGACCTGAACGTTCGCTCTGTTGCCGTGCTCTAGGCGGCGACAATGGTCCCCACAGCCAGTGGACCAGGATGTTCTGGACCGCGCCACAGAGGTCATTTGTGTCTGTTTGGATGAAAACGTACAAATGACTCAGTTTCCTCTTTTCCAACAACACTCAGAGGGTGTCCGCCTGCCAGAGCCAGCTTCCTCTCCTGTGCCCCCCCGTCCCCACCCACCCCCGCCCCTGGGGTCCCCCTGCGTCCTTTGAGCAGCAGCAGTAGGTGCCAGGGCACACGGACAAAGCCGATTTCTGTCCCCTTTCCTTAGAGGCGTACCGGTGCCTCAGCTGCAGGGCAGACAGCTGTGACCCCCTGTGATATAAATAAGTGCAGCCCGGCTGGCGGCCAGCCCCCAGGGTGGGCTGCTTTCACCCCCCCCCCCCCCCCCCCGCCCGCTTCCTCCTGCCCCAGACGCCCTGGAGTCCGAGGTGGTTGGGTGCACTGGCTTCCCTTCCGGCGACGTGCTTCCTGCCCCATCTCCCGGGACACATCAAGACGGCTGCGCTCCGGCCCGGAGCAAGTGCTCGGAAATGGAAGACACGCCGGCTTTCTGCTTTGTTAAGGTTGTCAGAGCATCATTCAGTGAGGAATAGGAGGCAATTCAGAGCCAAGGAGAACATAACCTTCTCAGTTTGCATTAAGGTTGAGAATTACAAGAACAAGCTACACAGTTCTGCTGCGTTGCCCACGCAGTTACCATTAGCCAGATGCATTGGTATTTAAATTAAAATTAATTACGACCAAATAAAATTAAGAATTGACTTTCTCAGTCACACAAGTGCTCAGTATACCCATGGCGCATGGCTGTTGTACTGGGCAGTACACAGAACACTTAAAACAGAAAGGTGTTTTTTTTTTTTTTTTTAAGTTTATTTTGAGAGAGAGAGAGAGGAGAGAGAACAAACAAGCAGGCGAGGGGCAGAGAGAGAGAATCCCAAGCAGGCTCCATAATGTCAGTGCAGAGCCCGACTCGGGGCTCAATCCCAGGAACCGTGAGGTTATGACCTGAGCCAAAATCAAGAGTTGGATGCTCAACAGACTGAGTCACCCAGGTGCCCTATGGCAGAAAGTTCTGGGCAGTGCTGGCTTAGAGCAACGAATTAAGTCTTAAAGGGCTAGACAGAGATCAACAGGCAATATAAGAAAAAGGAAAAAATCAACCCTTGGACAACTTGTGTGTGAGAACAAGTTGGGAGGGGGCTTAAATCCAACTCAGAATTACCAATGGACAGCCAGGGGGGGCTGGCTTCTTTGTCTTTTCCCTGGTCAGACACTGGCGTGCTAAGGGGGAGGGTTCAGGAATGAAAACTCCACCCACCATCTGACGGGTGAGGAGGTTATGGGATTCCAGTCTTGCAACCCAGGCAAAATATAAGCTATGGGCTCTGACGGGGGGTGGGGGGGGGACTTGTCCTTGGCAGACACAGGCTGTTCAGAGGGGCAGAGGGGAGACTCTTGTGAAGGGAGAGCCTTTAGAAGGGGGGCCTGGGGATCGTGGGCCCTGCTGCACCCCCCACCCCATCTTTGTGAGGAGACACCCGGAAATGGCAGTGACAGCGCTGCCTCTCAAAGCGTGTGTGGTGGAGGTCTTTGCCGAGTCCCTCTGTCACGTGCCAGGCCCTCAGGTGGGAGTGTGACTCCACTTCCCCATCTGGATTTTCTTGATGGAGCATTCTCAGGCCTCAGTCCTGCTTTCTCAAGCCCTCAGGAAGGCATGGGGTGTGTGTGAGGCCCAAGTTCTAAGGGGACCCGGAAAGTGTCTCTTGGGGCTCCTAGGCCATTTCCCTGAAGGTCTGGAGAAGCTGCCACGGTGCTGTTTCCTGAGCTGGCCGCCGGGCTGAGGCAGCAGTCTTGCCCAGGACAGAAACTTCTGGGACACGAAGATGACTCTACTAGCCAG